GAGAGAGAGAGAGAGAGAGAGAGAGACTGGGTTTTTAAAAAAGACCTTACCCACACAGGATCAAATTCACGTCTTCCGTGAGCGGTCTCAAAGACCTCAACATAACACACCACAGACACCGACATGTTCCACGAGATGCATGAAGGACAAATAGTATAGACAATGTGCAATGGTGTGAGTGACGTTGTGACGGCCAGCTATATAAACCATTCCCACAAACTGACCGTCACTTAGGATTCTACTTCATCCTGGGTGTTACCTTTATCGTCAGAATGGTGAGTATCTGGAATACGTTACGGCTATCTTGCTTATTAGTATTACTGGACCAAATTTTACTAAATTTCGCACATAATATAACAAGCATAGTAAGGAGTCTTAAAATCTGCAATCAAATTTGAGAAAAACTTTCGTTTCCATGGATACGGCAGCCATATTGGATTTTGTTAAAATGTCTTGCGTAATGAATACAGAATTTATTTTTCATGTAAATTGATTGTTGTATTTTTGCATGCATGTTAGCAAACATTAGATCTAAAAAAAAAAATGTCTGTCTTTTTTTCCTAAAGGAAGAAGAAAATTTTTTAATGAAATTTTTTCCTGAGGTAGTATTCAATTTTGCAAAAAATCCGTAAAAATCCACTCCAGACACCACCAAAAAATCTTTTCCATATACGTCTATCGAAAATTCAACAGACAATTTTTTAGTATTGCATCTCTTCATTCTGTGAAAATTTCATAAATTGGATGAAAAAATGGAGTTTTCAAAAAAGTATAGAGAAATCGCGTTTTGAGAAAACGGTCCATAAATAAAAATAAAATATTGACCTCATAAGGAAATGGGGGTGACAAACATGTCCAGTATGGGAAGAAATACGGTTTTTAGAGGTTCTAATACGATGAAATATTTGTAGAAGCTGAGGAAGCTAAAAATGCCTACAACTCAGTCTCAACTACAAGCACAAGTTTTGATTGGCGTGAAAACTTTCAGACATTTCTACAAATCTAAGATCCGTGAGTGTTCGTTTCTTAGTTCACTTCTGGGAATAAATTTCAGTAAGTAAAATAATAGAAAATTGACCTCATCTGAAATACCTTTTTTGTTTTAAAATGATCATGTACGGCCACATTCTAATGCTACACAGGCCTTCTGATAAATCCTAGCTTCTTCGTACAGTGTACATGTATTTTGCCACATTTATTTTGATACTTACTGTCAATATCTCTTATTTGGTAGTTCATATCTGATCCATTTTTGTCCGCCGAATATATTAGACAGTTGTTATCAGTCACAATTGTGTTTTCGGGCTCTAGGGGGGCGCTTCTGGTAAATCCTACTTTGTCACCCTTGTTTGTTCAAGTTTCTTAGCACAATACGGCCCTTGTTTCAGGTATTCTCCTCATTATTCAATTTCCCTTGTGCTTCATCTAGTTTCGATGTTCTTCTAGCGGTTAGGCACTCGGACTCACAAGCGAATGTTCGTGGGTTCTAATCCCTCCAGAGACCCGACAGTGTCTTTGAAAAGCATTTTGACACGAATTTTCCGCACTTCATCCAGATGGGAATGGGTACTCGGCTATAGGCAGTGAATCATCTTATTTTGGCTCATGCAATACGCAGATTGCCCAGTACGCTACCTTGAAAGCCGAGTGGTCTATGGGGTAATGGTAAAGCACATAGTTTTTAGTGTCTTGTCTGCGTTTTCAGTGTCTTGTCTGTCTTCGGTGTCTTTTCTGTCCTTTCGGTATCAGGCTAGTATTAGTGATCATCCTCTCTGGGATCATTTTAGAAGTCCTTCAAGAGCACTTCTACTTTTGGTTTTATGTCACCGCTGTGGGTGGTTGGTGGGTGCTCTGGTGTAGTTCATTCCTTTTCTATAAAAAATCTATCGTCCTTTCCTTTTTTTTTGGTATTTGTTACTCTTTCGTAATGCCTAATCTTTGACACTTTGTTCCAATTGTTAAGTGTTGTAAAACTCTTACTAAAACAAGACTCAAATACACGGATTTTGATGACGCATTTTGTTCCTGTTCATTGTTGCAGGCTTTGGAAAAAACTCTCTGCCTTCTCCTGGTGGTTACTGGGGCAGCTGTAGCATCAGGTACGGCTGCAATGTATACATATTTCACGTTTTTCTCTTTCCAAATAACTTGCACACTTTTTTATTCAAGGTGTGCTAAGCAGTTTTGTCAATAGCGCTGTAAATCGTTTTATGGTCTCCAGCTAACAAAACTCCCACTTGTGACCAAATTGTTTAGTGCAGTAAGATGTACACTCAAACCTAACAAATCAAGCTCCCCGGCTTCTACTCTTTCTATTGGATTTTATGAAGGCTAATATTGCTTTTCAATATCAGGATACGTCCCTATTTTCTGTAGACGTTAGTAATCTTTTCAATGTCAGGCTAGGGCAGCTCCCGTGTCCTGCGTGACTTAAGTTTACTGGGCTTTTTCAATGACAGGCCTATGATCCTGTTTCTGTGTGACTTAGCCTGTTACTTTTTCAACGTCAGGCTATGGCGACCCTGGGAAGAAGATGGTGTGCTACTTCACCAACTGGGCACAGAATCGTCCAGGTGAAGGTGCCTTCCTTCCAAAAGACATCAATGGGAGTCTGTGCACACACATTCACTACGCTTTTGCAAAACTAGACGAGAGTCTTGAATTGGCACCCAGTGCTCCCGATTCACTTCACGACAACCTGTGAGTATCTGACTAGCAGATGATCAAATCGAGTCGATAGTGTAAGACTTATTCACCTCCTTGGGAATTTGTGCACTCCCAGCTTGCTGTTTTGTCTGAACGTAAGATATTCGTAAAAATTGGAGTGTCAACCGTACCGTAAAACAATCAAAGAAACTATAAAGGCTGAGAAGCACTTTGCTCATATGATAAAGGCAACCAATGTAGCGGTAGACCACAGATAATCAAACCTGGACTTAAACAGATGTTGACGGGAAAGAGACACAGATTAATTTTTTTTAGCTTGTGGTTTTGTCGGTACGTAAGAGTACAATTTCTCCAATTTGAAACGCGTCGATAATACAATAAAACATGTGTTCAAAAGTTGTAACGACAGAAAGGCTTACATCTTGCTTATTTGAAAGACAAAATATGCAGAGGAAGACCAAGAATAACCGGAATTTGAATATATTGAAGACAAAAAGGTCAGGATTGTTTTGGATACTTTACTTTTTAAAATCTTTTAGAGCATGCAACAAAATGAAGTTTTTAAAGATGGATTCATAAATGAATCGTACATAAATAGGCGTAAAATTCAATCGGAGCATCCTACAGGATTGATTGCTATATATTCAAAATAATTGAGAGGGGGGGGGGGTACACGCAATTCTTGTCTGTCAGATGGAATTACTAGAATTTTATGTCGATTATACCGTAATACTGTACTTAAATTAAACCCACGTTTGCTGGGGCGTTGTCCTCTTCCCGGGAAGACCGTGACGGGAGGGTAGCCTAGAAGCAACTTGCCTCCTAAAATGATCTGATGGTGTCGGTGTAAACGCCTAAATTTACCGTTTTTACACATGTTATTGTATATCGTGTATGCTGGTAGGACTTTTAAAGAACATTGTTGCGCTCTTTAAAATGTTAATACTTCCGATGACCAAATCGGATCGACGGTGCCGTAAAATATGTTCAAATGTCTTGTCCTTCTGGTTCTCTAGTTACCAGAGTGTCGTCGATATAAAGAGATTATATCCACAACTGAAGGTTTTGCTTTCTCTCGGAGGCTGGGGAATGGGCACGGACACTTGGACGCGTATGGTCAACGACGATCTCACCAGGCGCAATTTTATCCAGGTAAATTTGTTTTAAATCCTTGTAAAAGCTGTCTACCGACGGGGTGCTCTTTCTGTTTCTTGGTCTTTTATTGAATATGGTTATAGATATTCAAAAAAGTCCCGCTGTTAGATCAGTTTGTGTGTCAGCTTGGCTATGGTGAGAGGATTGTCCCAGTACGAAGCCCAATGGGTCATTATTGAACTGAAGGTTGGGGACAACAGTGGCTATAATGGAATATTAAGTTCAAACTTCAATCAATTGAAATCCTAGTTGGTTTTACAAATCTATGTCTTGACACAAAGTAACATCCGTTGGAACTGAACCTTTTTTATTTGTCCCCTGCAGGTAGATTATGCTCATTGAGAAAGGGGTAGGTCTTCCTCGATGGGTTAATAGAACTCCGTAACCGATATTCTTCAACTTTCAGAAAACCATTCCGTTCCTGAGACATTTTGGTTTCGATGGTCTGGATCTGGACTGGGAATATCCAGGATCCCGGGGAAGTCCTGCGTCTGATAAATTTATGTTTACCCTATTGGTTCAGGTGAGTCTGTCGGTCTGTGCCCCCCACCACCTTTCTCCCTCCCCCCCCTCTCCCCCCT